TTTATTTCAATTCACGGATCCCGGAAGTTGCGGTCCAGTGCGTTCACATATGCGAGTAGTGCGCACTTCACTATATTTTGCTCTATTGTCGCTGGAACAAACGCTCTTAGTCGACGTCATATTTTGACTGAGAGTATCAAAGATTATGAAACAAATTTTGTAATAAAAATAAGAGAAATCATAAATAGAGGATAACTGTTGTTGTTGTTGGGACAGTCAAATAGAAAAGGGCTGAATATGTAATATATGTGCGAAACAAGAAGTCGATAGAAAATTTTGATTGAAAACTCCATTGGTAAATACATAGCTTTCGACTGAAGGATGATATTGAAATTGGTACAGGTCTGCAGTTATTGAAGAAGGTAAGGAAATTGAGATTTCTCGGGGTTGTGTCTAATGGCGGTCTTTTGTAGTGACAAAAGAGAATGAATCTTGATGAATTTGTCGAAGAGATTTCTGGAAGGACCGTGCAGGTAGAATGGATGAGGACAGGTGTCCGAAGATAGCGCAAACATATAAATCTACAGGGTAAAATGTATGAGATGTCGTCGACCAAGGAGGTTTTAGAAAGAGGATCGCACTCGATTGTGTAATAGGTGAAGACAGTTTCATGAAGAAAAACGGATTAAAATAATTTATGTCAGAAAACATTCTATAAGTCTCATTTTAGTAACATTTTTGTCAAGTATCCATGCGTATCCTTTTATCAAACGAATAAGGAATGCCCCAAAAAGATGTATAGATATTTTAATACGAAATATGAACCTTGTGTTTATACGTTTTTTTTTTTTTGGGGCACTATATTTTTCCTGCGTACTCCACGCATTGCGTGAGGACAATAATTGGAACACCACATCACGTACATGTAGCAAGAAGCTGTAATGAAACTCTGGTGTTTACTTTATGTGAAAGCTAACTCTTACGCAAACATAACTTATCTGTTCTTGCACGTAATTTGCACAATCTCTTAAAACTCTTGTACAAAATCTGTTTGGCGCTGTATAAACGCGCTCGGCAGTTTGTATCACATAGCTAGACGTATGAATCTTCTGGCTTCGTGCCTTACCGACATCTTAAGCTAGGTGTTGACTGAAGAAGGACTTATTTTCGTGAAAACTTCAAATTCTAGAAATCTAACTTATTGGCTGTTGAAAATGCAGACGTTGGTCTTGTTTTACTCTCTTGCGTATGAAGTCCTTTGTAATGGATACAATGCTTTTGTGAAACGTTGGTATCTAACTACAAGCCTACGACGCGTTACAACCCATAAGATAAACATCGATACGTTTCCTAATAGAAATGGTTTAATAAATATTTTGTTTAGACATATTTCGTAGGTATTGGGCAGGTTGAAAACGTTTCAATCTTTAAAGCAACTGCTGATACAAGTACATTTTCGACAAATTTTTGCAAGTAATATATAGATTCCGATATAAATAATAACACTATTTTATGGATACAAGAATCATAACTGTTTTTCTTATACAGTGATTTTGTAGTCGAAGTTACTTAACTGTGTGTCCTTTGCCAGTAAGTTACTTCGCACAGTAGTCTTCTCACATCCAACTTAGTGCCAGACATCAATCCGTTTGGTGCCCCAAGGCAATGACCTTACCCCTCACTCCGTGAAACAAATTAGTCAGTATTTGTTTAAATATTATCAGTCTAATCACAATAAAATTCCTATTAAATATTAAAATATTACTATAATTAACATTTAAATATTTAAAATATATTAAATGATATTCTCTATCGCAATGTTCTATTTACATTTGATATCACTTTTTACAACAAACATTCAAACAAAATATTTTCTTGAATGACAATAATATTTACATTAATAACCCTAATTCCCTTCAAATACTTAACTCCAC